CCTGATTTCAAAATTGACACTTAAACCTATGTGAGACCTTTTACGATGCATTATAAATGCTTGCTGACATATAATGGCATAGTTCCGCCTCTAAAAGTAAGGAGAACTAGCTTACGACGGGTGATGTGCTTACCAGGCCAGGGCTGTGAAGTCGATGGAGTTACTCCGACTCCGACTACGGCTTTCAAAGGTCAATTTCAACTCTGACTCCGGGCAAAACTGTCGACTTATACGATCGACTCGGACTCTGACTCCGCAGCCATGGCAAGTCCACGCAGTCGATGGATTTTCGGTGACTCAGACTACGAGTCTTGGTCCGGAATCCGGATTCCAAAATCGATTCCGATTCCGACTCTGACTGCAGGGTCAGAACTGTTGACTCCGAACGACTCCGACTCTGATTGCGAAATCCTGGAATTTAACCGCAAATAAGAGGCATAAAATTGTGGGTCCCAGCAATCATGGGCATGTTAGGAGGAGGAATCGTTTACGAAATTCCCATCATTTCTCTGGTAAATTCTTATGATTGTCCAAAGTTTGCTTGAAAAAACATCAACATCTAATTATGTTTCTGTGTGAATGTTCCTGGTGAAGCACATGAATCGGTAGATGGTTGCTGAAATACACGCACCGATAGGACTGAACCTCAGCAATGGGAGTAAAAACAAATACTTACACCATAAGCACCTTCATGTCATTAACCCTCGCACGTATTGGTGTTTTGCTAGCCGCGAACGTAGGTCGGGTCAGGTCAGGTCAGGCCAACAAGTCCTGTCGGGTATTCATAATTAATGGGTGTCAACCGCCAGTGACAGCTTCGTTGCATGTTACGAAGGCACCAAAACTTATTCCTAAATGTTCAAATGGTTACTTAATTCGAAATCAGCTCCAAAAACTAGCCTGGAAGCATGTAAAACTAAAAAAGGTGATCCGAGGTCATCAAAGGTCATTGAACTGACCTGACCTTCAAGTGATCTTGACACCGACCATAATGCATGGGACCAACATCATAATATCACATGTTTAGACGCTTGAAACCACGAAAAGACTGCAAACGCGCAGCTAATGCAAGCAAACATACGCCCAATCGCGCTTGCGGCCAAACATGGTCTCGAGAAATAGGTCACAGGTCAAAGGTCATTGGGGTCAGGGTCGTGAAATTTAAAGGGTAGGTAGGTGTAAATTGATAAACTCGAGGGTACTGAAAGTTTCGCCGCGATCGGCCGCTTTTTACATGAGCTTTTTGCGAAAAACCGAGAGGGGTCCTTTCGACCCCCACCCTCACCCCCTATATGGGCGAGTTTTAAAAAAATGTCAAGATTTATTCATTGGCGACCGTATTCTGCAATATAACATGTCAGAAATGCAGCGGTTGAGCCATCCGCGTAGCGTTACGGAGCCGCCGCCGCGCCCACCCTGTAGCCGGACCTCCCCGGGCGGGCCAACCCGATACGTTCAAAGCTGAGCCAAAGGCCGGGGGGCAGGTTGGGGCAGGGTTTCTTGAATGGATCATGTTCAGAAAAGTGTGGCGAATCTTCTCATGGTAGATTTGGCGTGGAGTTTTTTGGCCATTTTCTTATATCTCTACGTTTTTACGATAGACAGTGTTTTCAGGGGATGTTTGAAAAGGTCATTTTCAAATGAGCATAACTCATCGGTTAGTCCAAGGATACCTATAGAATTCGGGTATTCTATCAAATATAGGCTCAGTAGTCATATGCCACTCCAATTATTTCCAAACCTTTCCGACAATTACGCCAAAATGTGTTGTAAACATGACGCGGGTTTTCGACGATTTCAGCACAGCCGGGACCGGCATTGCGTATGTCCACTTTAGCTAGCTTTTTGGACACCGAAAGGAAGACATTGAACCAAAGTATTGTGATATTGACATACTTTGGACAATTTACTATCGACTGATAGTTATAAAAAGTCAAAATTCCAAAATTCGTTTTTTGATTAAATTCGCGCTAATCTGGCGTTTGGCCACACTGTGCAACGGTCGGCGATATAGCTGGCGGTTGGGCGGACCGACAGACCGGGTGGCATAGCGATACTTTTGTGTGTGTCCGCGTATACCTAATACATGCCAGAAACGGTTTGGTCTTTCAACACAGCAAACAAACATAAAGTCCACTCGACCACTCGCTATTTAGCAATATTTCCAGGATAATTTCCAAGAAAACTCGTCGGTACGGTTTCCAGCCGTTTGAATAGTTTATGGGCCCTGTTCTGATTCATTCAAGTTGTCTGATTCATAAGCACGAGTCAGCTTAGAAAGATGGCCACCAGAAACAGTTATCTTATGATAATGGGTATCACAATGCTGCAGCATTCGGTTCAGAAACACATTACCACAGGGCTATCTCTTGAATGGAATGGTGACGGCTAAATATTTATGGTTTGCTGAGCCGCAGCTCACATATTTCCATATTGTATAAACGTTTTGACTCTGAGCTGAGGGATGGGATGCAGCTACATCATGCATTGCATCGCCTTATATGAATTTATATCGGAATAGAGTAGCGCCTTGAATATGACAAAATGTTTAAATTATCTAAATTCCTCAAATACATACGCTCGTTTAATTAAATGCAGATGAACTCGTATAACGACTGGAAGGAGGAGGAAAGCATGCTTTGTCTTCCTAACCAACACCTGTTTTTTTTCTGGAGAGATATCGGAGCATTCGACATGCAATTATGCAGTCTGTCATGCTTTGGTTCGGGCCACGGGGTTCGGGAGAACCCGGGTTCAATCCCCGGTGCCGTGATACCTTTGATAGAGACATTCTGGAGAGATGAAAGCATCCTGGTTGTGAACAGCTCGACAAAATGGATTGGCTTACATCAGCAGGAACTTTTCTCGTCAAGTGACCTTGACCTTTCATCACTTTTCAAGCTGACCATACTGGCATCCTGCAACATTTGGACCTGCTTTGGGTCTGGATGTGCTAACTACTGACTCGAGGTCAGACTGAGTCGCCTGTCCTGGGCTCAGTGCAGACTCGGAGGTCAGCCGGGGTCACAGGTCCCAGGGTCAGTTGAGGTCACAGGTCCCGGGCTCTGCGCCGCACCTCGTCTGCCTTCAATATCACACATGAATTCTGGGCGTCAATGGGCGCTACCGCTGAACTCCGCACCGCCGTTATTTTGTGCGCCTCACTGGTCTCATTCTCAGCGCGACTGGAGGCGGCGCGTTCTGGCGGCTTATTGTGGGCACGGCAGGTCGCCAGACGGCGCCCCCGGCCAAATGATACCCCGGAATGCTGATGTGACGCCCGGCTCGAGATGGCCGATAGGAGCTTCAGGAAGATGATTTGAGATCACGGGAAATGCGAATGTGATCTCCGTCGTCCCGACGTTGATAAAGTATGATGACTTCCCGTACGGATAGACACGAGGAAAAATGCGTCTAGTGTGGTGACATATTTGTGCTGAGAAGTGAGAATATCACAGCTGTGCTTCTTGTCTTCTCTTTTAGACATCGATATAAGTTGTTAGCGTTTCCTTACCGCTGCATTCCCTGCCCAGTAGCCAGTTTACTGTCCTGCCCTATGGCCAGGTATTTGCGCTCAACTCTGAATATGTCAGTGTCGTTAACCCGCGCCCCACTGGGGTCTGCGTATAACACGCCCTACTGGGGGGGGGGGCTATTCATAGCCCCCCTCTTAACTCCGAAACTACTGGGCCGATCGTTAAAATTGAAACGGCGTCTGATAGCCCCGGAAAAACTGTCGAACGAAACCTAATTTCATTGACCTCGAGGTCACCGATGACGTCACAGGTCACGTCAAAGTAAAAATTATTAGCATTTTGCTTGTTCACGTTTTGGGCTCTGGCCGTCGTCTTACAAGTCAGATCAGGCTCATTTTTGGATCACACACTCGTGAACAGATGCTCTAGATACCCCGAGGGTACTAAACTTGTACTTTGATTTTCAGGTCAAGATCAGGTCATCACAGGTCACGAAAATATTATATCATGCGTCGGTCACGTGACACATATTTTATGGTCCATTTAGGCCAGAGATTTCGAATGTGATGTCGTGTGTGTCATTCGAGGTCATTTTGAGTCGAATTTAGCTTAGGTCAGGTCACTTGCAGGTCAAAAAAGGTAAAATTTTGAAGTTAGAAATTTTCAACAAAAAAGGTGTCTATTGGATGCAGTTTGAGCTCAGGAACACGATGGTGCTATTTATATTGGCGTACGATGTCAAATACGTGCTGAAAATTTGATTTGAAAAATTAATAATTGTGAATTTTTTGCAATAATGCGTAAAACTTGGCCATTTTTGAAGATATTTAGCTAAAACTTGCTAGATTTAGTCATAATAATGCGTTCTATCACATATATTCCGGTTTTTTCGAAATTAAAAAACTTTTTGAAAAAAATTAAAAATATAAATTTTGGATTTTATTATATCAACTTTTCGAAATTTTCAAAATTTCGAAAATCCGAGATAGCAGTTTGATAGCGCAGTCTATTCTGAGTCCTCTCATGCAAAGAAATTGGATCTAGCTTAAAAACTGAGCTCTTGGGAGCGATTGCCGTGGTTCAATGTTTTGCGTCGAAATCGGCCGAACATGACGTCACTCTGACGTCAATTCCGGCCGACCTTTGGTAGATACGAAGTTAACATTTTGACACAAGGTGTCAAATTGATGCAGCCGAAGGTACTGAGTGTTTGGCGTCGATACGTCAAGCGGTTTGGAAGTTATTGCAGAAAAACGGGAGGGGGGGCTATAAATAGCCCCCCCCCAGTGGGGCGCGGGTTAACCTATGACCTGTCTGACCGCTGACTTCTGACCAGGTCGCTGACCACTATCCTCTGACCAGTTCACTGTCACTGACCTGAGTGACCGCTGACCCCTGACCAGATCGCTGACCGCTGACCTTTACCCAGGTCGCTGACATTTGACCTGTGACCATTATCTGTCGCTGTCCCTACCGTGCTAACTGCTAACCATGTCGCTGACCTCTGTCCCTCTGTTGCGGCAGGGAGCCGCACGGTGACGGTGGAGGCCGGGTTTCCGTCGGATCCGCCCGATCAGCGGGCTCGGATCACCCTGCAGGTCGACCTGGTGACGTCACTGGGCGACTGCAGTGCCGCCACTGCGCAGGTGAGACCTCCCCCAGACACGGGGGGGGGGGTCCCGGCATCAGTCCAACAGTGGGTGGGAGCGAATGTAGTGCATTTCAGCTGAACATTAACACTGCTAAAATACCTGCGTTTTTCCTTAGATCAAATATCCAATTGAAGCTTAACCCGCGCGGGGCTGGGGGGGGTAATTTTACCCCCCCTCGCGAATTTTTGCGATATCTCAAAAACGGCGGCGCGCAGCGCCGCTAAACTTTCAGTACCTTTTCTTACATCAATTTGACACGTTCCCTGAAAATTTGAGCGAAATCCGTCGGAAATTTTTGAGAAATTGACGTTTTAGTGACGTCATGTTCGCCATTTTCGCCTCAAAAACGGCAAAAGTTCAAACGCCGCTAACATCTTCATTTTTAAAGGAATCAAGACGTAACAAAAAAGGTTATACGTAATTTTACTTTGTCTATCAAATGGCTATCTCGGTTTTTGGAAAATTTTGGATTTTGGCCTAAATTTTTTCAAAAAACTGACTTTTTTGGGAAAATCATTATAAAATCCAAAATTTTGAGTCTATCGAAAAAACCGGAATATATGTCAGAGAAGTGGTCTATGTGCACCTACATACCAAATTTTAGAAGAATCGGTTCAAAAATGTGGGAGTTATTCAAAATTTTACGACGTCACGACACACAAATTTTTTGAAAAAAATGACTTTTTTGGAAGTTCTAGACCTCGTACGGAAACAAAAATAGCACCATTCGATTCGCCGTGAAAAACTGCATCAGATAGACACCTTTTAGGCCTTAACAACCAACTTCAAAATTTGACCTCACTTGACCTGACCTTGACCTGACCTCGACCTGAAATTCATCCAGAGATGGTCCATATCACTTATTGAGTGTGCCTATTGAATTCTATGAGTAAAATGACCCATAAAACATGTGTCGCACATGCCCTTTTCTAAATTTTGTTTTTTGGTGACCTGACCTGACCTGACCTGACCTTGACCTTGACCTCTGAATGATATTGTATGCAACGAATATTGTCTTGGTAGCCTAAGAACACGTTTTGGGCGATCAGTCTCAGTCCATGACTCCATTCTTCGGCAACTACGGTGCAAGGCCGATACTGTAGAAACTTGCAATTTGTACCCTTGACCTGACCTTGACCTTGACCTCAAACTTTAAATTAAGTACATTTTTTTAGTAGTTCGTGATGAGAGCTTTCGATTGGCGTTTGAATTTTCCAAATCGGACCATTAGTTCGGGAGATAACAGGGGGGGGGGTAAAATTTACCCCCCCCCCCCAGCCCCGCGCGTTCGGCTGGAGACCCCAGCCCCGCGCGGGTTAACATGGTAATCAAGGTTTGAAAACACTCTCTGTTTATTTGAGTGAAAAGCTCTTTTCTAACTGCTCGGCTCGTTCGGCTACCTTTAATTCATACTAAGAAATTTATAGAACGTCATGACAGATCAGGTGCTTTTTGTTGCCCCACACTTGTGACCATTCTCCGAATGACCAGACTGGCAAACTATCTCTATGGCCTTATGCATAATTGTCAGTAGCGGCGGAACACCTTCAATTAAGGGGGGCACTGCCGACTTTTGGTCCCATTCTTTCCATGCAACGCCCATAGGGTTAATGTTAAAATGCCAAAATCAAAGGGGGGCACGGTGCCCCGGTGCCCTCCCCGTTCCGCCGCCTATGATAATTGTTTATATTCAAAACCATTTTAGGACATACTGTTAATTGATTCAAATTCACCATCGCATTTCATGGCATGCTGATCGTATTGCAGTGTCAGTTTCGTTAATTTTTCATCAGGTAAATAATTTTGTTGACTTTATCAAAACCTGTTCATATTTTATAATGCCTGTTTCAATTATGAAAAGCAGTGCCTAGTGTACGAAATACCATATTTCATGAAACAATAATCAAATATGCCTATGCCACATCAATCATGGTGATGCACCGGCCTTCGCGTGTTTTCCATCCAATGTCACTGGCTTTCTGACTGACTTGTGACAGCGTCCACCCGATCGAAACAGATGGAAGCTGTTTAGTAATGCAAGCAGAAGAGACGAGTTTCGAACGGCGCCATTTGTTAGGCCGTCCTCCTCCTCGCGCTGTGTACCTGGCATTTCGAGCTGGCGGCACGGTAATGGTGTGTTAAATGGGGACAGGCCCGGTCCATTTCTGATGTGCTATTTTTGACACCGGAGCCGGGACAGTCGTAACGGGCGGATCCGGTGCTAAATGAATTATACCTGAAGCAGCCACTACGTATAGCATGCAATTTTCAACAATGGCTCAGACTTTCCAGCCATTTTTACTTGTTAGCACAAGAGTCCTGTTTTTTTTCGCATTCGCTAACGATTTTGGCGTCTCGGCAACCCACACTTTACATGCAAACAAGCCTCCCTCGCTGTTGAAATTGCAACAGGCGAGAAAGGCTGAAAAATGGCTTTAGTGGAAGGACACGTATTTCTACCGCAACAAAGGCAGCGCCGAGTGTACGGACCAGCACTGTAGGCTCTCGCCTTATCTATATTTTTTTTTCTAAAATGAAAGTCTGGATCACAGTCATGCTTTCACAGCTAAAATGCAAGCTTCCAGTACGGCCTAACCTGCCCGAAGAGAATGTACAGTCCACAGCAGAAGTAATGTGTGGTTTCAGTCATGGGTATGTTCTGCTTCTGAAGCCTAGGAACGATCAGCCAGACTGCAACGAGACTTTAAATGTAGCTTACATGTATCTTCACCCTTGCAGCTACAACTTTATCTATTGACAATGACGTCTTCTTTTCAATCAGTCCGCATTTAAAAATCGTCGGTCAAAGCCATCCTTTGAGATTGGTAAAACCACACATTACTTTAGCGGTGGGCTGTACATAGTTGAATAAGCATTCGTGTCATCTGTACATATAAGTTCGTTAAACCGTTTTCACCTCTAAACCTATTTGTAAACAAATTGACTTGTAAATGATTGCCCTGCCGAAATGCTATTGGAACCTCACTACAAAAGTGCTTATTATGTAAACACTGAACATTTACAGGACTTTGAAGTCTCGCTACGTGGTAGGCATTATTATTACGACGAAACTGATGATAACTCAAAGGATTTGTCACCGCCTACTGGGAGCTTGGTCCAGCAAGATGCTTGAGGCTCCATTTCACACCATAAGATTGGGACAATCATTATGGATTTTCCATCCAACTTGGTGAAAAAATGTTTGAATTCGGCCGAAAATAAGCTTGCTTTTGATCTTATACTGGGTGGATAGGCTACTTCAAGATAAACCCAACCAAGAGTGAGAAACTTCCTGTTGACTGATGAAGCCTTTACTGACTGATTAGCTTCCGAACTATTTTGTCGACGAGAGGGTGTATACTTACCATGCAGGGAGACGAGGGCTATGCGTTCTCAATAATATCTCTATGGACTGGCCATGTCATCTCTCCAGTCAAAGCAGTTGTCTGCCGCAGAGCAGGAGCAAGCACCACTTCCTCAGAGAGGAACAGAGCAATACCATTTGCCGCAATAACTGTGTTTGTCATGCCCATATTTATGAATGTTATGTGTAACATTAGGAGAGAGAGAGAGAGAGAGAGAGAGAGAGAGAGAGAGAGAGAGAGAGAGAGGGAGAGAGAGAGGGAGAGAGAGAGAGAGAGAGAGAGAGAGAGAGAGAGAGAGAGAGAGAGAGAGAGAGAGAGAGAGAGAGAGAGAGAGAGAGAGAGAGAGAGAGAGAGAGAAGAGAGAGAACAACCATTTTGTTGTTGTTTGTTGTTACTTCAGCAACGCTGTGGTCGGTATAAAAACGCTCCCACCTTCTCTTATCCGATTTCATATAGGAACTCTTTTATAGACTCCTGTACTTTCGCTAGATGATTGCAGCTAAGGACAAGGGCGGCGCCACCGTGGGGGCAGTGGGGGCAGACTGCCCCCACTGGCAGGAGGCCGTGGGGGCAAGACTATGTTTTTGCCCCCACAAAATTTGGCTGATAAAAATATAAGAATAACCAGTAACCTCATAATATAAATCAGAAATAGGAGCCAAAAAGTTATATTTAAAGTTATCGAATATTTCGCTCCTGGAGCTTCGTCAGCGATAATTACAGAAAAAACATATACGTTTTAAACATGGAACAACAAAGAACACTGCAGAATAAATAGCAAACTCATGCTACACTTCGCAAGGTACCGACATTTTAGATACATTTTACGACCCCTTAGATAAGCTGACCTGGGTGTTAGAAATGGTGATTACTCAGCTACTTCCCTTTATTCCGGCTCATCTGAAAAACACGACAGAGTTTCTTGACCGAGTGAAAAGTAAATATCCACGAGGCTTTGAACCAGGGACCATTCTCTTCAGTGTCGATGTGGTCAATCTGTACGGGAATATTCCTGTGCATGAAGGGATCCAAGCGTGTATGACCCTGCTACGAGAACAAGAAGAACGTATAAGCACGTTCGGTATGGCCCTCAATGACATCGAGCGGCTCTTACAACATTGTCTCACACAGAACTTCGTGCGTTTCGGGTCACAATACTTCAGACAGCAGACCGGGATAGCAATGGGTAGTCGAGTAGCTCCACCGCTGGCAGTCACTTTCATGCACATGCTTGAGTCTATGTTCCTAAGCTCAGCGAGAGCTCAGCCATCTCTATACCTACGTTATATTGATGATGTGTTTGGCGTATGGAATCACGGGCTCCCTAGCTTACTTGACTATTTTGAGTACCTAAACAGCGTCCACCCATCAATAAAGTTCACTTTGGAACATACAGCCGACACAGGGGCCCTCTCTTTCCTGGACACCCTCATCAAAATATCTGAAACAGGGCAGTACACCACCGAACTGTTCATCAAACCCATGTCAGCCAACGTCATTCTGCACTTCAACTCGGCACAGCCTATGTCTGTAAAACGTGCAACAGCTAGGTCCCAATACCTGCGAGCTCTGAGACTATCGTCACCAGGGGACCCCACCGAGCGCAGCCTCCATAAGGTAGATGACCTG